TCCAACTGTGATGGATCCACAAATTTTGTATCCCGTTGCAATCAAATATTCCCCGACCTTGGGTGCGACGCGTCGACATCTACACGTGCAGACAGCCACTACAACCGTATCAGAGACGAACAGGAGTCTTTGTGTCGTGACAAGGCGCCTGCATGCAGTCGCGCGAGGAGCGTCGAACAAGTCGTCGTCGAGGCAGCATGTTTGCGCGGGAAGCCATCACCGTCATTTGGAACTGATCGCGGCAAGCCATGGTTGGTGAAATCTTAGAGTTCCATTGGCTTGTGAGTCCAACGTTGCACTCGTGTATGAGAAGTTGCTTCGATCTGCGCAGTTTGGATTTTTCACTCCCGAGCACACATTCGTATATATTCGTAGTCATGACGACGACAAGCGACTGCTGCATCTTTGAAGGCTGCGCGCTGCCGCCGCGTCCCAACTCGGTCAAGTGCGTCGCCCACCGAAGCCGCGCCGTGTGCCGGATCCACGACTGCCGCAACCAAGTGTACGCCCGCCAGCTCTGCGTCTCGCACGGCGGCCGGCACCGATGCGCCTCGCCAGGCTGCAAATCGAACGCGCGCTCGGGGCGCTACTGCTGCCGCCACAGCCTCCAGGCCAAGCGCCCCAACGTATGTGTTGCTGTCGACTGCGTCGAGACCGCGACCGCGGGACAGCTCTGTCCTCGCCACGCAGCGCGGAAATGCGTCAGCGACAACTGCGATACGCCCGCGCGGCGAGCCGGCGCATGCTGGCGCCATCGTGCTCGAGATGCCAATGCGATGTCGCCTGCCATGCCCGAACCGCTCCTTGCGATCGACGATAGCACGCCCATGGACGACGAGAGTTGGCTGCAAGAGCTGTTTGAGCAGGCACCCGACATGTTGATGCCGCCGCAGGAGCTGAGAGAGTACATTAACGACACGCTCCTGCGATTGTAATATATACCTCTCGAGACAAACGGGCAGACAAGTACGCGAGGGTTGTGGTCTCGCCTTGGTGCGATGGTCTGTTGCGATCGTCCACAACGCGTTTTCATTGGCTAAAATTCCAGTATCGCAGCTACCCGGTTCGTCATTTTCACAGTATCTTGTTGCTTGCCGGGTTGAACTTGCGAGCGACGAGCATGCGCGACGCGGCCCTGCTCGACATGTCCACGCCGGATCTGCGCAAGCTTTGTAAGGCGTTACAGCTGCCCAGCTCGGGCACGAAGAGCGACGTCTTGAGCACCTTGCACCAGCATTATCGCCTGCCGGAAGCGCCGAGCGTCGACGGCTGCGTGGTGGTCGATGCGCCGACACCAGCGAGCTCCAGCGCCGAAGAGAGCGACATCGAAGACGAGATCGAGGAGCCGCCAAACCAGGAATCCGGCGGCATGAGCCAGACGACGCCATCACCGCCGGTATGCCTGTGCTGCCGGCTTGAACCCGATTCGATCACCATGGTAGTGCACGCCGCCCGAGCCGCCAGCGACGACTGCCACGCCTACTCAGCACACGGTACGATTGCCTACACGTGCTGCGTATCATTTGGCGCGATGACAGCGTCGGCCAGACACTGTTCAGCAAGCGTACTGGGACACGGTCCTGGCCGACGGGATGGACGGCCTCAACATCCTCGATCCAGAGGTAGGGATTTACGTAGCATGTGCGCCGACTCATAGCTTTTGGCTAGATGTATGAAGATTTGTCTTCCATGTTCCGCGCGCACCTTGTTGTTGTCATTGCGCCACCCGAGGTAGGGCACGCTCGCGTTGAAGAGACGTCCTTTCCACATGCTCCTAGGCGCCTCTCTCTCCGCTGCCACGATCGACAGCGAGTCCGGCCACAGCGGCGGTACGTCTTTGGCGACACCCAGCCAACGAACAGGCGCTGGGCGTAGAAGATGCCCACGGCGACGACGACTCTGGACCTTGAAGGCTGGCACGCAGAGCCACCGATCAAGGTTGCACCAATACCGCCACGCAACGCACTGACGTGAGCGCATAGAAGCCGATGCAACCACTTGTCGTTGCCAAACCGAGCCCGCCGCCTGAAACGATAACCGCGCGCCGATCAAGCACCCGCTTGAACGTTGCGCAACCCAAGCCCAAGAAGCAAAGTAAACGATCCTTGGCCGTCGCAGCGCAAGAAGCACAGGTACACCTCATGAACTACAAGCCAAGTTGATGACGAGTGTGGAATCAATAGCAGCGTCCAGCGGCCGACGTCAAACGCAAGCGAGGCCGCCCGCGCAAAGACCCGTCCGCAACCCCCCAGAAGCGCGCGCGAAAGACGCCAAGCGCACTGCCTCCTGTGGGTCTGCCGCCAGCCCCCGCGCTTGGGACTTTGACACCGGCGTGGCGCACGTTTTTCCGCAAATTGGCTTCGCTCGAGTAGGAACGCTCGGCCTCGACGCTGCAAGCAACACGCCTGGATTTGCGTCGCACACTGGCCTTGGCATTCCTTTCGTTGACGTAGACCTGCGGTGCGCAGCAACTGTCTGCGTCGTTGGTTGAGCAGAATCGCTTTGATGGGTGGTACCATGCTTCAAATGAACGCCCGTAACAATGGCATGCAGTCGAACACGGATCGTGGTGGCTATGGCGGACGTCGTGCGAGGAAGGAGCCAACTGAAGCCGATCCGCGCTGCTGTGGAGTACCTCTATTAGCGTAGCGTCGCCAGCCTGTACCTAGTCGAGGTGCAATCATGAGGCACACGGTCGCGCGCCCAGGGTGGCACAGGATCTGGACCTTCAGTGGGTCGGCCACCAACATTGGCCCAATCGTCGAGAGTGATGGTAACAATCGAACTGGCGATCTTCTTCGTCATTTCCAAAGTCGACTGCCGATCCTCCCATACCACCCACTACGATGCAAGTATCGATGTCCAACATGGCGGCGTTGCCGACGGCGATGGCGCCGATTAACACGCCTCCGCGCACGGCCTTTGTCTTTGGCTGGGACAACTTTCTGTGTCCCTCGACGTGGCTGCACCAGACGCTTGCGATCCACCCGAACCAGCTCCAGCATCCGGTGCTGCGCCAGCAGCTCGCGGTCCTCGACACGTACATAGTAGCGCTCCTCACGCAGGCGCGCGCAATGGGCCCCGTCTTCGTCGTCTGCGACTCGACGAACGACACGCAGTCGCTGTGCCAGACGTACCTGCCGCAATGCATGAGCCTCTTTCTTTCGACCGACGTCCGCGTCGTCGCTGGCAACGACGGCCACAACCCCCTCGACGTCATCTGCGCCAACCATCTCGGCATCTCGACGAGCATGTTTGCGCCCCAGAGCACGCTGGCGGTGCTCGGCCTCCCGCATCTGCGCGAGACGTGCTTCCGCATGGCGTACCGCGACCTCGTCGTCAACAAGGTCGTGTGCAGTGCCCGACCGTCGCCGACCGTCGACGAAGCTTGCCACCAGCTCCAGCTCATGGGCAGCGGCCTCCTCGGCGTCGTCGCGCACCACACGTCCGCGCTCGACATGGTGCTTTAGTCGCGAAGGTTGCATCTCGTCGGTAACTGTGATGGTGTAATTGTGTGTGTACTGTCGTCGTTGCGCATCCCAGTACTCAATCCCGGCCTATTGCATGCGATGTCTAGAGTGGAGACACATGCGATGTCTATAGTGGAGACAAATCTTTCTTGCCGAGCCCCAGAGACGGCGCTGGTGGGCTGTGCCAGACCAGACAGATCTGCATACTACGGTACCGCCGCAGCTTCAACAAGCCAGATTTCTGGGCGACTTTGATAACCACTTTGGTATACTTTAACAAGAAACCAGTTGGACTGCAGTATTACGTGCTCTGATGCTACCGCGTTGTCGTGCGGCGCGGCGGCGTCAGAAGCCCAGTCGTCCTCGCACAAATCTGAAAATTGATCGCGTCATCAAATCGATAGGACCATCACTCTGCCGCGATCTTGTCGCCAGTGAGCGAGTGCAGCAGCACTGGACCTCGCCGAGCCACTCCTCAAGCCAGCGCGACCACGCAGTGCGATGCACGCTGCGCACGTGTTTGGCCTCCTCTGCGCGATCAACTTGCTCAACTTTATCGACCGGGGAGTCATTCCCGGCGCGCCGATCGAGTTTCAGGCGTTCGTCCAAGCGTCGTATGGCGTCGCGCCGTCCCACGTCAGCGTCTACGTCGGTCTGCTCGCGTCGGCCTTTATCGCATCGTACTCGATCTCGATCTGCGTCTTTGGGTACCTCTCCATGACGCGCCGGCCGTTCGTGCTCGCGGCCATTGGGCTCTTTGTCTGGGTGGGCGCGCTTTTCTTGTGTGGCCTGGCCAAGCCGTGCGACAGCTTCCTCCTTCTCCTCGTCGGCCGCCTCCTCTCGGGCATTGGCGAGTCTTCGTTCCACGCTACGACGCCAGCGTTTATTGATGAATTCGCGCCGCGTAGCCGCCGGACTCTCTGGCTCGGCTGCTTCTACGCTGGCATGCCGGCCGGCACCGCGATTGGGTACTCGTATGGCTCGATCATGGCGCAGACGCTCGGGTGGGACGTCGCATTCTACGCACTTGGCGTTGCCATGTTGCCGCTCGCCTATATGTGCTGGGCGTGGATCCCGCCCGAGTTCAACCACCCGCTCCGGGCCATCGTTCCCAAGTGCCAACACGACGACGATGACCTCATGGTCTCGGGCGTCACCGCCGACATCACAGACATTGAGCTGACACCGCGGCGCTCGGACGCCGGTGCTGCGTGTGACGAAGCAATGACAGTCGACGGCGACGAGGATGACGGGCTTCTCTTGCAAGAGACGCACAGCACAGCTCCGACGCCGCTCTGCGCAGAAGTGCTTGCGATCGTGCACGACCCGCTCTTCGTCAGCGCAAGTCTCGGTCTCGCCGCCTTTGCGTTTACGATTGCGGGCCTTGGCGCATTCGCACCGTCGATCCTCATCGGGTATGGGCTCTTGGATGCCGCGACAGCTCCCACCGTCTTTGGTGCGCTTGTGGTCGTGACCGGAGTCCTCGGGTCGCCCGTCGGCGGCGTTCTCCTCGATCGCAGCTGTGTCGCCCGCCCCGACGACGCGCCGTTTCGCGTCTTCATGGCCGCGATGCAGATGCTCGTTTTCCTCGTGGCCGGTACTGGATGCCTCTTCTTGTCTATGGCGTACCTCGCAACGCCGTGGGCTTTCTTTCTCCTCCAGGGCCTCGGACTCTTTGCCCTCTTTGCGGCCCAGGCGGCAACGACCTTGGTGATTCTCCTCAGCGTGTCACGCGCGCGCCGAGGGTTCGCCATGGGACTGAATACGTTGGTGCTGCATGTGCTCGGCGATGTGCCGTCGCCAATCGTGCTGGGTGCGCTCAAAGACCGCTGGGCGCCTCGCTGTGGCAGCGTCGTTCTGCCCGATGGCGCGTTGGCCTTGGACCCCGCCTGCGTTTTAGATACACCGGGACTCACCAAGACGCTTCTCTTTGCTTACTCGTGGCTCCTTCTTGCTGTCGTGGCCTGGATAGGAACTTATGTTGTGGCCAAGCGACGACTGCGGTGCAAAGACCTCATTGTACCAAGCGTCACTTCGACCGCGCAACTATGAGCGCTGGCCCCTACCATTAGTCTTTCGCGGCGCAAGGATCTCTTGCAGCACCTCTGATATAATACACCATGAATCGATACGTCACAAAGGTATGGGTTACTGTAGAGCGGCAAATGGTATACTATCGCGCGGGACGCACACGCTACCCGCGCAGCCCGAACAGGAGGCCGAGCTGCGCGACCTGCGCAACGAGCTCCGCCGCAGTCACGAGTTGGAGCGTGCCATGTCCAGCGGGCTTCTTCGTCTTCAAGCTTGGATGACGACGCTTGATGACAAGCTTCGACACATCCACGTTCTGGTGACAACGAGCGATGTCCGCGTCGCTGCTGCTCTCGACACGACTCGCAACGAGCTCCAGGCCGTCGGCCGGGACCAGGTATTTCTGGCTCAGCACGTCACGATGGAGCGTGTTGCGACGGCCGCGGCACTGCAATCGGTACGTGTGATCTACTTGGTGAGCTAGAAACTATCGTGATGCATAGGCCACCGTCGGCAACAACGTCCACCGTGAGTAGTTATTTAGCGTAGTCATTTTGAATTTGTAATATATATATTGATACGTGGAGATGTCTTTGGCACAACAGTGCAGAGTCTCAACTCTAGAAGAACGCTCACCACGATGCAAGTTGGATAGCAGTAGATCCTAGCGCGCTTCATTCATCATCGTCGTTGGGCGTGTTTGGCAGGATACTGTCGACTTGCACAGGACTGTAGACCCCTTCATGGATAGGTACACCTCGGTGGCATTGTGCGATGTGGAGTTGACGCTGCAATTTATGTAGAAGGTGACCGCAAGGGACCAAGAACATATTATGCCATTTACCGCTTCTTTGTCTTTGGGCGACGGGCCGACTTGTTGGCGCCAAATGCACCGGCGTCCGGCGTCACCTGCGGCGTCCCGAGACCCGAGAAGCTCACTGATTTTGTGAGCGACGGCACGGCGCCGGTGGCCGCAGCCCCAAACGAGCTCGTGCCAAAGGCGCTGGGGGCGGCGGGCGTGGCCGCAGCAGCACCAAACGAAAAGCCGCCCGTTGCGGGTGCGGCCGCCGGGGCGGGCGTTGTGGCAGCACCAAATGAGAACAGCGTCGACGCCGCAGTAGCGGTTGGTGCCGCCGCCGTCGTCGCGACAGCTGTGGACGAGGACGCGGGCAACGTCGACTGTGCCGCGCTGAGCCGAATCCGGTCGACGATGCGGCGCTCTTCTTCGGCCTGGACACGGTCCGCGGCTTCAAACGGGTTGCGCACGAGGCCAAAGCCGTGGGGCGCCGCCTGCTGCCGGGATAAATACTGGTCGCGGAGCGTATCGGCGCGCTCGTGGACGTCTGCGACCCGGGCCGCCGCGCGCATAAACGCTTCATTTTGGCTCTGCAACGTCTCCTGGAGCACGCGGGGCGTCATGTGCACGGTGCTGGCTTCGTCTGCGTCCATGGACACGTCATCGTGCTTGGCGCCTTGGAGTTGGCTATGCACGTCCGTCATTTGGCCCTTGAGCGTAGCGAGACGACTCTCGAAATGCTGGACGAGCGACCAGTAGTACGGCGACGGCATCGGCTCGTGGCGCTGGATGCCCGTCTCGCTCGTCATGTGCAAGTGGGTCTGGTCGGCGCTCTCGGCCTGCACCACGAGGTCCTTCACGTCTGTCTTGAGCGCGCCAATGTTCTTGGCCTGGCGCGCATGGATGTTCTGGAGCACAAGCGCCGCCTGCTCGAGGTGCGTCGTGCTTTCCTTCAGTTGCGTCAGCTTGGCCGAAGAGACCGCGCGGATCGACGCCTCTTCGCGGCTCTGCTCCTTGACAAACGTACCAAACTCAATGAGCTGCTTCTGCACGTCGGCCGGGAGGTCTTCAAAGCGCGTGTCGAGGCTGATGGCCTTCGTGTTGCCTGGGGCAGCACCAAAGCCGAGGCTCGGCGTTGCGGCTGGCGCGCTGCCAAAGCTAAAGGACGACGTCGACGGTGCAGCAGCCGTACTACCGAAATTGAACCCTGTCGAGGCGGGCGCGGCAGCGGGCGTCGATGATGCGCCACCAAAGCTGAAGCCCGTTGAGGCAGGTGCAGGTGTCGTGTTACTGCCGCCAAAGCTGAAGCCCGTCGATGCAGGCGCAGGTGTGGCGCTGGCGCCGCCGAAACTGAAGCCTGTCGATGCTGGCGCGGCCGCTGGTGTCGAGCTGCCGCCAAAACTGAAGCCCGTGGACGAAGCCGCGGCAGGCGCAGCCGCCGGTGTCGAGTTGCCACCAAAGCTGAAACCAGTTGACGCCGGAGCTGCCGTCGTCGTCGTCGAGGAGCCACTGCTTCCGCCAAAGGAAAAGCCACCTGTCGAAGCCGGCGCCGCAGACGTCGCTGCAGGCGTGCTGCCACCAAAGCTGAAGCCTGTTGATGCAGGGGCTGCGGAGGCACCCCCGAAAGAGAAGCCGCCCGTGGCCGGCGCCGCGCTCGCTCCACTCGCTCCGAACGAAAACGCCATTTTCGATGTATGGACCACTTGAGTCGATCTGGGCGGATTCGGCATAAGCCGCCAAATTCACTATTATTTACGGCATATGACGTCCCATGTGCCGCTAATAGAAGGTAATTGCGGCATATGCCGATGGCAATTTGCCGTGCGCAGCAGAAAAAGGCGGGACAGGTTCCAAGGACTCGAGGGACATTTATCGGATGGACGTAGTCGTTGCTTCGATCACGGCTGCCTTGTTATATGTATGTTTTGCGTGCTTCAATGTGCCAGAGTATCGTCGAAGGATGCTCGATCCATGCATCGGCAGTCAAGGTGAGGTGCCGAAAATACAAGCTAAGCATGGCATATGCCGATGTGTACGTATCCGGACAACATTGCTCTGGCAAAAACGAATCTTTGGATCATTCGATTTCGGCGAGCCGCGATGGCACAGACCGGCATGAACCAAGCGGTCTCCTTCAGGTAGTCTGGCGACGACGCCGATGATGGCGACGATGGTTGTGACTAGCGCAGATCTTATAGCATCGTGTATGAGTAGGCTCCTGCTCTCCAACGACGCCGTCTACCGCTTCCAGTGTCTCGCTGCACACCAGGTAACGACCGCGGCCCCTCACGCGTCGCCGCCCAACTTCTGCCGTAGCTCCGCGTCGTCTTTGACCATATACAGGAGCTCACGTCGGCTTCAAAGCCCGCAGAGTTGTACCATTGGCGCACGCACCAACGTCGGACTTGCATGCTCCGTCAACTTTGCTCATGGCTCTATAGACTTGGACAGCTCCAAGGCGATCGGCGATGTTCTCGCCGACGGCGATCTTTTGACGTTGGAGGTGGATGCGCCAGCCAGCGAGGCCATAACGGTGTGTCTCGATGCGATGACGTCAATGGTCGACCTGAGCCTCTATCCGCATGACGATGCAGTCCACGACGAGCTCGGGCTTCTCGACCAGCTCGTACCCCTGGCTGCCAACGATAGCATCAGCAACAACAACGACAGCAGCAACGCTACCGAAGAGTCTGCGTCGTTTGAGCTACCAGACGCAGGCGACCGCGACCGTTGGCGCAAGGCGCACCTCGGACGCATCGAGGCGACCGGGCTCGCGACGACGCTCAACTTGACGACGCTCGAGATCGAGCACAACACTCGCATCTCGCATCATGACCTGATGCTCCACGCGGCGCTGCAACTCACCGAGAACGCGCTCGTATTGCAGCACGAGCTTCGGCTTTTGTACTTGCACTTGCGCAGCCACCAGGGCTCGTCGCCGATCCTAAAAGAGTCGGCCTCGACGCTGCTATCGCTATTACGACGCACGGACCGCCGCCCAATCTTGCTGCAGCCAGGCATCGACGTGGCCATGCACGGGTACGTCGACTGCGGCAAGTGGGGCGCGCTCTGGCGCACCAAGCAGCGGTGCTGGGCCGTGCTGTGGGCCGCGAAACTCTCGCTCTTCCCGTCGCCAGAGGCCGCCAAGAAATACATGTTTGCGCTCGCCAACGCCCGGCGCAGTGACGCGCAAGATGACGTCATCGGGCAGCGCATCCAGCGCGAGTACGCACCGCACACGGAGTTTGCACTGGCGGGGTGGAGCGTGCGTCCGGGCGCGCCCGAGTGCGCGCGGTACACGTTCGCGCTCTTTGACGCAAATGGCGTCCTTCGCCAAGTCGTCGACGTGGCGTCCAAGGCTGAGACCGACGCGTGGGTCCGAGCGATTGCGGTCGAAGCACAGCAGCACCTCGTACGGCTCCAGGCAAAGCTGTCAACGGCGACTGCACCCGAGTACCTCCAGCTGCTTCGGCTCACAGGTGCGCGCGCTTTAAACTCACATTTGAATTTCAGGTTCGCCTAGGCGAAGACGGCGCGCCACGGCTGACGCTCACACCGCCGCTGCGTCTTCGCGTGCCGCTCAAGTGGCTTCACGTGCACTTGGAGGCGCAGGACGCATCATTGCGCGCGCGGCGGCTCAAGTGCTCGAACTTTGCGCAAGCGCTCAAGGACATCCAGCGCGACGTTCTGCGCATCAACGGCCGCCTCTACGCGAGCTCGTGCTTTGAAGACATGCTCTCGGAGCTCGCGATCGAGCTCCTCCAGCACGCATCCAGCCACCGGAAAAGCTCGGAAATGGACGCGCTCGCGTGCGCGCGGCAGCTGCTCATCTACAGCAGCCGGACGACGGGCGGTGGCGACGTCCTCGACGCCGTACACTATTTGCTCTCGAGTGCCCACTACTGCCTCTGCCCCGAGATGAGTGACGTGTCGCCCGTCGACGTCGCGATCCAGCTCCTCGACGGGCAAACTGTCGTTGATATCGAGATGACGATGGTCTTCAAGCTTATCCCGACGGCCGGCGAGCACGCGATCGGCCGCGTCATTGGCATCTCCCGCCAGCGACTCCTCTGCGATATGACCACGCACTTGGACGTCGACGGCGAGATCCGCATCGAGGTCGAGCCCGTGGAATAAGTTAACAACCGACAAGTGAACACTGCTGTTATACTATTGTACTATCGCATCGGTGCCCCTAGCTGTACCAGGTGCTTGAGGACACGGATAAAAGAACTTGTCGGATTCATCGAAGTCTTTCTTTGTACAATGTACAATCATACAATGTACAATCATACAATGTACACTCGTACAATGTACACTCTTAGCTTTGAGCAGTTGGTTTGTTTGGATGTGACAAAAAAGGGTGGCGCGATCTCGAACCGGTAACGGTCAGTTGCGTGCGATTAGAGAGCATCGGTTGCGGGTCATGGCGCAGCGGACGCCACGAGCCGTCAGCACGAGCATCGCATGGAGCGATGGGGCTCGGCGCTTGCACCGCGCCAACTCGATGAGCCCCGTGCGCGCGCCTACGTATCTGCAGCAGGCGTCGCCGCTTGGGTCGCTCACGTCGCGCCGCGACGGCGACCAGCGCCGGGCAACCCAAGCTGGCTTGAGCCTCCTCGGGCTAGCCTTTGACGGCGTCGACGCTGCTTCGCAAGCGCCACTGTCGCCCACGTCGTCGATCGGTAGCTACGACCATGGCGTCGAAGGCCTCGACCCGCACCTCTTCCTCGAAGGCGTCAAGGAACACGCGCGCTACCTCGGGATGGACCCGGACTTTGACGCGGACTTTCTCTGGATCGCGAAAGAGTCGCTCGTCGCGCCCGTGCCAATAGGCTGGCACCAGGTCATGACGTCCGAGGGCGCGCCGTACTACTACAACGACCACACTGGCGAGAGCCGCTGGGAACATCCCTCGGACCGAGATTACATCTCGCTCTTTCAGGAGATTCGCCGGCGGCAGCACAGCGGCGAGCCCGTTGACGTGGTCGCGCTCAAGCACCAGATGCTCGCGCCGCCGCCGGACGAAGCCGCGTGGCCGTACGCGAGCCAGTCGAGCTGGGGCTACGACGCGCAGTCACCGACGAGCTCCCACGCCAACCTCGAGTACGACTATTCCGAGAGCGAGATGGAGCTGGAGGAGGTACGTTGATCCCTCGAAATGTAACCTTACGGGGCGTAGGTGCCACTCCAGCGCAAGAAGAGCAGTGTACGGCATTGCTTACGAATCGTTTGGCGTAGCGCTCTCGAACGTAGGTGGCGCTGCCGTCGCCCGACGAGCACCGCGACCTCCTCGAGAAGCTCCACGCTGAGATATACGCACTCAAGGCAACGATCGCCCAGAAGGACGCCGATCTCGCGTACGGAGCACTGAGTCTACATACCGGCGATGTCGATGCGTGGGTGTTCGTAGAGCTGCTCAAGCACGGGCAGATGGGCTAGTGTCCACGCAAGAAACGGCCGCGGCTGCCCTGGCGTACACTCTCTGCTCTGCATTGTCAGCACTTTTGCTAATGAAGTACTTGATGTAGGGCGGCGACGGCGCGCGAAGCGCAGCTCGTTGAGTCCTCGGGCGCCAACCAAGCTGCTGTCGCCGACTTGGACGAAGCGCTGCGCGCCGCCAAGCAGCAGATTGTACGTCATTGAAATGCCGAGGCCATTGCTGAAAGGCCAAATAGGTTGTGGCCACAGCGGAGCTCGAGCTGAGCAAGTCCAAGGTCGCACAGGAGAACCAAGAGCTCCGGCAGCAAGTGACAACGCTAAGTGTACGCGCTACCTCCGACAATCCGTGAGTGTAGTGCTGGTACTGTAGATGCGCGTGAAGGAGCTCGAGGCGGGCAGCGACCACGTAGCCTACTTGTATCGAGGGTTCTGGCGAAAGCGTCTTGTGCGACTAGAAGGACGAGCTCAAGCGGTACGAACGAAAGCTGGCCAATCTAACGGATGCCCGGGATGCGCTGCAGCAAGAGCTGGATGCGCTCACGGCGTCGACGACCGCAGAGATTCAGGTTGGTCGACCTGGTCCTCGATCGTGAGGCCCATGCGGGCTCTAGTCGCTCAAGGAGGCGGCGGCCACACACGTGCAACAGCAATCGTCGGCGCTGGCCGATGCGAGCACGGTACTCCAGTTATCTTTTTCAGCAACCGCCACAAGTGAGGTCGTGGGAAGGCGACGCTGGCCGCGCACGAGGCCAAGGTCCAAGCCCTCAAGCTTGAGCACCAAACCGTTAATTTGCAACCACGAGGGTCGGCACGGTGCTCATGAGCGCGCTGTAGGCCTTGGCCACGGCCAACGCGGCCATTGCGACCGAGAAGGCCAACGTGACACAGCTGCTTGGTGTTCTCGAGTCGGAGAAGAAGTCGTCGACGGCTGCGTACGAATCCTTATTTGTTGCCTTCTCGTCACTTGAACATATGCAGCCTTCAAGCCGCCGAAGCCAAAGCGACCGAAAGCGCCAAGGAGGTTCAGATGCTTCAGGCCCATGTACACATGTCCTTTCCAAGTTGTTTATCTGTACCAACGGACGTAGGTAACCAAGTACAAAACCAAAGGCAAACAGCTCGAAGCCGCCATGGCGGCCAGTGAAGCCCAGATGAAGACTCTGACGGACGACCTCGCTGCGTCGCAGTCGTCGCTCGACACCAAGCTGTCGGCGGCCAAACAAGCGGGCGCCGACGAAGCAGCGCGCACTGTACGTTGTTGGCGTTGCTGTGCACGAAACAACGATGGGCGTATAGGCAGCAGTGCAGGTGCTAGCGGCGCTCGCAGAGAAGGACCAGCTCGCGCTCTTGTACGCGCAAGAGATGAAAGCGCGCCGACAGCTGCACAACAAAGTCATGGAACTCGGCGGCAACATCCGAGTGTTTTGCCGAGTCCGACCCATCCAGCCCGTCGAGCTGCAGAGCGACGCGGCGTCCGAAGCCGTGTTCTTTCGCTCGAACGACACGCAAGCGCTCGACTTGGTCGTCGGCGAGGGCCAAAAGCACCTTTTTGAGTTTGACCACGTGTTCACGGTACTGTTGCCGCTCGGTTTGAGTCGGAAGGCCTCACACACCGTGTTTCGCAGCCGTCGAGTTCGCAGACCGACGTCTTTGAACAAACCAAAGCGCTTGTTGTGAGCGCCATGGACGGCTTCAAGTACGTCGAGCGTTCGCCTGTGGGTGCTTTTCTGAGTGAGGATGTGCGCTAGTGTCTGCATCTTTGCGTACGGCCAGACCGGGTCGGGCAAGACGCACACGATGGAAGGACCCGACGCAGACCGCGGGGTGAACTTTCGTGCCATGGAAGAGCTTTTCCGCGTCCGCGACGACCGGCTTCGCGCTGGCACAATGGAATGCGACATGAAGCTGAGCATCCTCGAGGTCTACAACGGTGCGTCGTTTTGTCTCTACCTCTTTGTCATGTAGTTGTAGAGACGATTGTGGATCTCTTGGACGACACGTCGACGGGCGACGAGCGCAAGGCGCTCGAAGTGCGCATGGGCAAGCACGGCGCGTTCGTCGATAACCTCATGGAGGTTGAAGTGGCGTCGACGCGGGATGTCGAGGACCTCATGCGACTCGGGCACTCGCACCGGAGTGTGGGCAGCCACGACTTTAACGAACATAGCAGTCGGTCGCACCTTGTGCTCTCAATCACGATCACGAGCGTTCAAAAAGCCGACGGGAAGCGCGCGATCTCCAAGCTGCACCTGATTGACCTCGCGGGCTCGGAGCGCATCAGTACGTATTTGCTGCCTCATTTCTTGGGCCAAACGATAGGGACATTAGGCAAGACAGCGGCGAGTGGCCAGCGCTTGAAGGAAGCCCAGCACATTAACCGATCGCTCTCGTCGCTCGGCGATGTCATTGCGGCGCTTGGCAGCCATAGCAAGCACGTGCCGTACCGCAACTCGAAGCTCGTACGTTGTCGCCGTCCTTGGTCCTACCATGCGATACATTTTGGTGTAGACGTTTTTGCTCCAAGAATCTCTGAGTGGCAACTCCAAGGTACCTGTCAGATTGTATCTCATGGCGTGGCGAATTGTGGTGCAGGTGCTCATGTTTGTCAACGTGAGTCCCGTGGCCTGGAACGCGTGGGAGTCGCTTTGCTCGCTCAACTTTGCGCAGCGCTGCCGCAGCGTTGCGCTCAAAGGCCCTCCGACGCAGTCGCCGGCCAAAGCTCCGCACAAGGCGCCTGGCAGCAGCACGGAGAAGACGCGCGCCACCTAGTCTGACATGAAGGAGAACCAAGGGGTGTGGCAAAACTGCACAAGTTGGTATAAAAGGCTAGAATACAAAACTACCAAGCGACGCTTCGACCGCATCACAACCCACGAGCGCTTTACGAGTACTCGGGCGGCTTGGTGTACTCGTGCGCGCGGTGGTACATGATCGGGTACGGGTGGTATCCGCTCTGGGGGTGGTACCCGCTCTGGTGGTAGTAGACGGTCGCGTCGCCTTGCGGGTGGTGCATCTGCAGCGGCGGGTACGGTGGCTTGAAGACCTTGGCCTTTCCACTGCTTGGGAAGGGCTCGAGCGCGCCCTTGTTGGGCCCATTGCTCTTGAAGACGAGCGGCCGGTACGACTCGTGCTTCTCGAGGAGGCTCGAGTTCTGGAAGCGCGCAATCATCGCGGCCTTGCCCTGGAGCCGCGCATACGAGATGGCGCAGACCTTGTCGCTGTTGAAGTTGGGCCAGCGCTGGCCGTTGAACGCCTCGTAGAAAGGCCCGATCGTGGCGGTTTCCATAAAGTTGATGAACGCGTAGCCCATGTTGCACTTGTTTTTGAAGTCGATCGGGAGGTAAAAGAAATCGTAGCTGCCCGCGTGGCGCGCGTTGAGTTCTGCGAGCAGCATCGCTTGCGTGTACTTGTTGGGGATGTTGCGGATCATGAGCGTCGTGCGCTTGTCCGTGCCTGCGTACACGCGGTCGATGCCGAGGCTGAACTCGTCCATCGGCGGCGACGGCGGCGGCATGGGCGGGTCGGCCCAAATGCCCACTTGCTGCGTCTGGTGGTTGGTGTTGTTCGGAATGGGCATGCTCCCGGACGCAAACACCTTTTCGGGGCTGTGCGCCGGGTTGGCGACCGCCGGCGCATGGCGCTGCGACGCAAGTTGGCACTGGCCGATCGCTTTGAGCTCGGTTGGCGACGCCGGTGCGCGCATGGCCGTAAACACGTAGCCACCGAGGTTGCCTTTTTCGCTGAGGAGACCGATGGCCCGGGCGACGACGCGTGCATCATTGAACTCGACGAGGAATTGGCCGCGCGACGGCTCGGTCACGGTCACGACGTCGCCGAGTGTGCTGCAGATCAAGTGCAGCTCGTCGGACGAGACGACGCCGCGGTCGTACCCCGGGGCAAACGCAATCTCGACAGATGCGTGCGACTTGGGCGATGGATGGTCGTACAGCACGCAGTAGTCGACGACGTACATCGGCGTCGCTTCGTTCACGGCTTGCGTCGCCGACTTGAGTTCGTAGAACGTGTAGAGAAGCACGCCGTGCGTCGCCATGGCCGCATTGCAGTGAGCAACGTCCCCATGACTCTATCCACGATAGCGTTCAATGACTGTTGAGCAGCGTGGAGCTGTGTACCTGCATCGTCTGGTAGATGCTGGCGCACTGCGCGGTGGAGAAGGGCCCGCTACTGCGCACGCTGACATGGCGTGTCGGCGATCGGCTCGTCAACGCGGAGACGAGGTCTTCGAGCTCGTTCTGCGAGTACGTGCCATTGGCCGTCTCCCACGACACGAGGCGGGACCGAATTGGCTTTTCAGGCTCGTCCGAGACCTAGAACACCATGGCATGAGTTTGGCTGCCGCGGAGATAACCGGGCATACCGACGAGAGCGACGACGACGAGTGCGTGAGCGCCAGCGTCTTGAACGCATCGGAAATCGAACTCGGCTTGGTGTCTTCGTCGCTGGACGTTGACATGGCGTCCGACGCCGGGTTCATCCACTACACAGAGGACAATGCATGAGCATGACACGAAATCGGTATCTCCAGCGTACGGTCGCGGCGGGAAGTGGCGTCGTGTCCGAGAGGCGCTGGTCGTTGTTGCCAAACACGCGCCAGTTGGTCCACAAGTCGACGTCCGTGTCCGTGTCGTCGCCGGTCATCGAGTCGGATGACATGGACCAGCGCTTCCGCTGCTGCATGAAAGGCGAGTCGGTGGACGACGACGCCGCGGAGAAGGGGCTCAGAAACGGTGGCGGTGGCGGCGACAGCAACACGGACGATTGGTTTCCCGCTTCCTTGCTGCAAGGCGTGAGCAGGTCGAGGTGGGCCTGGAGCTTTCCGTTCCGGTGGACATCCTTGGCACATGGGTCGCAATACCGGAGCTCGCACGCAGGGCAGGCCGTCGTCGCGGGTGCGGCAGAGCACTCATCGCAAGTTGTGGCATTGATGAGGCTCGTGACGTTATGGCGCTGGAACGAGCCCTTGCGGTGGCGCGCCTCGGCGCAGTCGGCGCAGTAGACGAGGTCGCAGTCCGCACAGGCGACAGCGGCGCCGCTGGGGCATCGACAGCAGGCGGCGCCTGGTGCGACGGCTCCGATCATGGCGGAAGATCTTGGAATGACACAGGTCCGATCTTTGGAAAGCTTGGCACGTGACCCTTCAACAAGATACACCTCTTCAAGATACACGAGAGCGTCGGGGTATCCGGTTCCACAGGGGAAAGAAGCGGCGAAACGGACCATTGGATGCGTTCTGAGAGGCTGGATCCGGTGTACTTGGAGTTTGTACCAAAAGATAGAAGCGCCGACGGCCTCTGACCGGGTTCGATATTATCTGGCGCCGCAGCCACGGCGTCAAGACGAGGTCGTCGCCAGCGGTGCTTGGATCCTTGCCGCCTCCTCTTACTGTACTCTCAGTGGTCGGACGCTCTTGTGCGACCCACGGTCCCTTGGCCACTTCAACTTCAACTTGAAGTTGGTAAGATCCGGCATTAGGCCTTGTGAGACGCGCCTACTTGGATAGAGGCAAATGCACGGGGTGAAAAGGTCGTAGCAAAGGCGTACTCTGATCCACTGTCATTGGCTCGTGTCCGACCCGTCGTCGAATCAAGTGCGGAACCGATGACAAAAGTTCCAAGGCGACCGTGATTGGGACCGTCTAAGCCGTCGCCTGTAACTGCTCGGCGCCATGCGCGCTACCAAAGCGCCCCGCGTGATCGCTCGCGATCTCTCGTCCGAGTATGTCGTCACGCAGATCAAGGCGCAGATGGCAGAGCAGTGCGCGATTGAAGTCGAGGCCACCAAGGCGCTCTACACCGATCAACTCGGCGACGAGCGGCGACGCTGCCAGCAAACCCTCGTACAGCTTTGAATCATCGGACGCGTCGCTTACACGCATTGTGTAATAGGAAGACCGAGAAAAGCGCGCCGAGGCATTTTGCGATAGCTTGCGCGCCAAGTACGAAGAGCTCATGCTGCGGCAGGAGGCGACGCACCAAGCTCAGTTGCTCGAAATGAAGACGGCAATGGAGCACCTTGTGGCGACACACGTACCGCTCGTTGACCACGACTGGCTCCTGCAGGACGCCAAAGCGACAGCACAGCAGACGGCGGAAACCCAGCGACATACGTCGGAGCTGAACCATGCCTCGGCGCTGACGGCGGCGTTGGACGCGCAGCGCCGGGAGCTCGAGGCAACGCATGGAAACGCGCTGAATAGCATGCAGCAGCAACTGCGCGAGTGCCAAGCGACCAACACGAACCTTACGCGGATGCTCCACCTCAAAGACAAAGGTTTGATCTTCTATGCATCGTACATGGAACTAGCAGCACGCGGTGCGTAGAGCTTGAGAAGTTATCGAAAGCACTGCAGGAAGAGCGCATGCTTCGGGCCAAGAAAGAAGCGGCGCTGCAGGAGTCCTGTCGCCACTTGCTCACACTGCGCAATCATGGCAAAGCTGCGACTGCAGCGCTGCGCGAATCGAAGAAGCTCGCGTCGGCACTGCGCCATGACGTCGCGGCGGCCCAGCAGCTCGTCGCCAAGGGCAACGCAGACTTGGTAGACGTACCTATCAGTGTGCCCGATCGTACCTTCGAGCATGTATTCAGGTACAAGCCACGACAGCGCACGCAGGAACCGTCAAGTGCCTGGAACAAGAGCTCTTGCATCTTCGGCAGCTTTTCGACCTTGACAAAGCTGCGTGGCAGGCATCAGATGTACGATATCCTACTACGAGTCCCACAAGAACCATACTTGCTTCTAGGAGAAGGCCCACGAGAAGATTGCCAGCTTGAAGGAAGCGTTGGGAGAAAAGACAAGAACGTTGGTCGAGACGCAGCTACTCACGCAGCTTGACGCGCAGCGGGCGGAGCAGTTGAAGTTCAACTACGAGGCTGACATTAGTCGCGCCAAGAGTGTCCATGACGAGGCCAAGGCGGCGCTCAGCGCCATGGGTGCCTCCAAGGCAGAGCTCGAAGAACACGTTCGTCGCATGCAGCAGCAGAATCAGGTAATACAATCCCAGCGGTAACACACTGCCTCTCGATGGTGGTCGCATGCTGCCATCACATTCGCGTTATCGTACAGGTGCTCGAGGAGCGCGTGGCGACCGCTGCCGCCGCCAAGGAACAGATGGAGGCCGTCGCGCGCGCGACGCACGCAGCGCTCGCGCAAAAGGTGCAAGCCACCGACGCCGCACGCAAGCACTTGGCGGCCGAGAACACTGCGTTAAAGCAGGAGCTGCGCATGGAGCAGCAGCTCCTCAAGCGCCCATAGAGTACCATACACGCCCATATACCAATAGCACTTTGTGATAATACTATGTCGCGTTCGAGAAGACCGTGCAAGCGCCACGCTTTGGGTGCGGACGACTTGGCTTTCTTTTCACACTCTGGATCGTTCGGAAAGCTACTCGGACGTCCCTCGTACACTGTATTATAGCACTATGTATCGCACTTTTTCGTACCAGTATATATTGCAATTGCCTAGTAGGTGCATGTGATCTCTTCTTGGTCGGGGTAGGGCTGCGACACGAGGCGCTGATTTCGGCAAAATACGAAACGCAGTGTTTACGCTATGGTGCTTGGGACAGAAAATCGAGCCTTCTTGTCAGTCCGAAAAGATGGCATCACCCATTTTACTAATGCACAGCACGTCTTGAACGGCGGAGAGACGACGTTGGTGTGCTGGCCACGCGTCGTCTGGTCCCTCCCGCACTGAACCTTGCACAAGGGGAACCGAACCCGCGTCGCAAGGTGATTTTGCCGTCCATCGCGCGCGCATTGGCTGCAAAGCGGTCGAAATGTCAGGATTTCAACGCGTCCTCTCTGCGGATTGGCGTATCCATTCCTATTTCAGCCAATCAAAAAATGTTGCTGTGCCAGCGCAACTCACACTTTGAGAGTGGGACTTGATGGCTCCAAATCGCAATACTCGGTGCCACGCTGTACTCACTCTCACTCTCGTATACAAATCGCGATATAAAAACAGTGACGTTGCCGTCGCGGGGCTTCAAGGAGTACCTTCTCGGACGCCTTCTAAAAATACAAGGTATTTAATTGAATGCGATTCCAATTGCCTTGACAACTCGCCCTTCTTTTAATGCAACACAAACGCATTTACACTGGCTTTTGTATGACTCTTGTATAATTTTAAGCAACAAGCATCGATAATTCTTTAGCTTTGGACGCGGCGAAATAAAAAGGAGCAAAATCAGACTAAAAAAATGCACGCGCGCTTGGCCCCATTCCCCGTTTTCAAGCGCGTTGCCAGCGCCGCCCACGATGAACGCGTCGGGGCTGTCGCCGCAGATGCTGAGCTCCAACGACCTCCACCGCATGAAGCGCCTGAGCGAGACGAGCCACACGCTCTCGGCGGAGCGCCTGAGCCGTAGCACGCGCCACAGTCGCGGCAGCATGGGCCCGCCGCCGCCACCGCCACTGCTGCTGCCCGCGCGGTCCGAGCCCGCGACGTCGGGCTCGTCGCACTCGTTGCACTCGTCCAAGCGATCAGCTGATGCGGACGACTTGCCGCCTATGCCCATGGGCGGCCTCAAGCTCGAGTACAGCCCGAGCGCCAAGTATTCCGGCGACTCGGTCGCCGACTCGGCGCGCATGGACGAAATCATTCGCGAGATTCACACAACCATGGTCACAGAGCTCGGGATGATCGAATCGCTCGTGCCCTTCACGGGCAGCGACGAAGCCTACGACGCGCACCCGTGCCAATGCAAGAGCGCGACTGTCTTCCACACCAAAGACCATGGCAAGGCGTCGCGCCTGCTTGTCATCGTGCCGTACCGTGAGGCCGGCGTCTGGAGCCGAAGCATCTGTATGAACACGAACGGCGACGAAGAAGCTGGTACGATGCTCTCATACCTCCGGAAGGCCATCGCCGAGGGCTACGGCGTGCTCATCATGAACCCTGCGGCGCAGTCGTGCCACTCCAAGCAGCACGTGGGCACGGTCTGGGACTACTTTGTCAAGCCGTACGACTGCGACCTCTTCATCCTCGCCTTCTCGCGCGGGTGCCAAAACGTCATGCAGCTCCTCAACCACGACAATGGGCGGGGAGGCATGCAGCACCGACTGCGCGCGCTCGCGCTCATCGAGCCGAGCCACTACGTCGGCGACTCAGACACGTACTTTGCGCGGCGCATGCTGTCACGACGCGCGGTCGCCTGGCTTTTGTCGATCGAGACGCCGGCGGGCGGGCAGATCACGTCGACGGAGCGTCGTCACGGCTGCATTTGCGTCTCGGCGGGCGCGATTCCATCGAACGTGCTCGGGTCGTCGGGCGGCTGGGCGCTGCGCGCGGTCATGACGTCGGTCTTTGGCGTCTTTGCCGCTCGCTGCGGCCAGGCGAGTGGCATCACCAAGTTTACGCCCAGCGACAAGAACAAGTGGGGCGGGTGTGGCCTGTGCCACCGCAAGATGGGCTTGTTGACGCGCAAAATGCAGTGCGCGTGGTGCGAGGTCAAGTACTGTGCCAACTGCTGCGAAGACAAGCAAGCCCCGGTCTTTGGTCTCTGGGGCGTCTGCAAAATGTGCCAGTTGCTCCCGTGCCTCATCGACCCGCGCAAGAAGTCGAGCACGTCAAGCACGCCGGCGTCGCTCACGCAGATGAACGACGCCGACCTCATTGACCGGTGCTCGATCTTCATCCACCCAGACAAGGTCGACGATCTCTGCCTCTCGGACTTTGAAATTGTCAAGTTCATCGGCCGCGGCGCCTGTGGCCGCGTCAAGCTCGTGCGCAAAAAGCACGGCGCGGACGAAGGCAGTTTTTACGCGATGAAGTCGATCAAGAAGCGCCTCGTCGTCGCGCGCGGCCTTGTCGAAGCCACGAACGCCGAGCGCCGGATCCTCGACCGCATCAAGCACCCGTTCATCGCGACGCTCTGCTATGCGTTCCAGAATGACGCCAAGCTCTACCTCCTCTCGCACTACTACCCCGGCGGCAACCTCTTGGACCAAATGCGCATCGTGCGCCACTTTACCGAGGAGCGTGCGCGCCTGTATGCGGCCGAGGTGACGCTCGCGCTGGGTCATTTGCACGCCAACGACATCATCTACCGCGACCTCAAGCTCGAGAACGTGCTCTGCGACTCGGAGGGCCACGTCGCGCTCACCGACTTTGGCATGTCCAAGGAGAACGTCAAGGCCGGTGAGCGCACGTCGACCTTTGTCGGCACGTACCAGATGATGGCGCCCGACATTTTGACCAACAAGCCGTACACGGTACAGTTTCTATCTTCCAAGTATCAAGTTGATATCGTGTCTAGCGTGCGATCGACTGGTGGGCCCTTGGCGTCATGGTGTTCGAGATGATTGACGGTCGCACGCCGTTCAACGCCAAGAACAACAAACTCATCAAGGAGAAGATCATGACTTTTGAAGTGCCCTTCTCGGACCGCTTCTCGCCGGACGCCAAGAGCTTTGTGCAAGGTCTCTTGCAAAAGAAGCCCGAGGACCGGCTTGGCTGCGGCCCCGACGGCGTCGACGAGATCAAGCGCCACCCGTGGTTTGCGTCCGTCGACTGGCCGCGTGTCTTTGCGCGCCAAGCGACGTTCTCGGCCGACCAAGCGCTCCTCATGAAGACGTACGCCAAGGAGTACGTCACGGTCGATGTGTTCGATACGTACATGCACGCCAACGAGGTGGCGTGCGACACGCCGACGTCGGTGCGCGGCTCGGGCGGCACGACCACAGACCTCTTTGGCGACTTTGACTACAACCACCTCGAGGTCGCGGCCAACGGTCTCGACATCGACGACGACGCGCACGATCACTTTGTGCTGCCACTGGACCGGAAAGCCGACCCGGACTTTGACATCCACCTCCTCCGACCGATGAAGAGCGACGACCTGAGCCGCAACAACTCGAGCAGCACGATCGTGGCCTCGGACGAAGGTGACGACCGAGCCGGCGCGTCGCCCGTGTCGTCGTCGGACTCTGGGTCGGGCAGCCTCACCGAGTCGCTCCTCGTCGTCAACACGATGCCGACGACGCCCGAACTGTAGGCACCCTTGGTTGCCCGTTGTGTATATATCCCGTGTGGTGCGTGAATAAGTGACTAATCGTATTTAGACTCCTTTTTCTGAAAACGACTATGGACATTTATGCACAAACAACCTAGAGCGCGAGACTGGAGGCCGCAGTGGGGTGCGTCCACGTCTGCGTCCCCGTTGATGGCTCCTCGTAGTAAATGTGCTCGCCATGTCGGATGGCGGTCCACCCCGGTGGTAGCGTTGGGTCGTCGACGTACTCGAGCACAAGCGCACCGTCACCATCATGATCTGAGGCTCTCTCTTCGTACATGGCTGCTGGCTCGTCGGGCGCGATTCCCGCGACGTCGGTGGCCGTTGGTGGCCTGGACACGACGGGCACGTCGACCGCTTGGGACTCCGAGACGAGAGAGGTGTCATTGCTCGAGGTCGTTGTAGATGCCTTTTGGCCATCGGGGTCTGTGGTCGTTGGTGTATCTGAGACCACTGGGACCTCGGTGTTCTTGGCAGTTGGGGGTCTTGACACTGCTGGGTCCTCGGTGACATTTGGGGGTTTGGACACCACTGGACCGTCGGTGTCTGCGACGCTGGAGGGTCGCAAGACCGGTGATGTGTTGGTGGTGGTGTGCTCTGACACTACTGGGCTGTCAGCGTCAGTAGCCGTTGCGGGTCTTGTGGGTGCGTCATGCTCTTGGGCCACAGGTGTTGCGGGATGCATGGGCTGCCCAGGAGCCATCGTATCCGTGGCAGCTGCTTCGTGAGTCGGAGTCACGAGTTGCGCGGTAGTGGCTGGGTGTGCAGGAGTCGCCGGGCGTTCCGTGTGGTCGAGGTGCGCGGGGGGCGTCCTTGAGGATGTGAATTGCGATGGTGTCAGCACGGGTGTGCAAACGTCTCGACCTGCAACGGCCACCAACGGCGACGATGGTGGCGAAAACTCGTGGGCTGTCGCGGTGCCAGTTGGCTCGGACATGGACTGTCGCCGGTCTTCGACTATCACAGGCATGGACGACGATGCCGTCGCACTGACGCTGGATCGACGTCGGTTTTCCGCGTTGGACTTTTTGACGACCGCCGTCGTTGTCCGCTCCTCGGTCGACGCCGAAGCTAGTGTCTCGTTGGCGTGTCCTGTGATCCGTAGTCCGTTCTCCTCGGGCGCTATCATTGGCTTTTCTGGTGTCTTGGTCGCGGATGGCCGCCGCCGCGTCGGCGTACTTTCGTGGAAAGGAAGTCCAGCCTTCTCGACAAACTCACGCATGCGCCTCGCTTCGTCCGTCGTTAGCTCTGTGCTCGCTTTTCGGGACTCGGGAGGTGGCAACGCGTCGTTCAGCGTCGTTTCGAGCGCCCCCCAGCGCGCCGTCTTGATCTACACGCGTGCTAGCACTCGGTCTGTGTCTACGCCCTGATTACCTCTGTCGAGCACGCGTCGTAGAGCTCGTGGGCCATGATCTGGTGCAAAATGCCCGCAATCTACAACGCGGTATGAGTGTCCTACTCACAGCGCAAGCGCAACGGTCTGGGCAAAGATGCAAAGCAAGTGGAGACGCAAGTCGTCGTCCGCGCTTTGCTGCTGCGCGACTTCGCGCTTCGGGCCTTGGGCCAATGTCGCCGACCGAGCGACTTGCAGCACGCCGAGGAGCTTGCCCCAGTACGACGTGATCGGAACGACGTACAGTCCGTGGGCGAGGTTGTTCAAGTCGACTGCGCCGTTGTACTTGGGGTGTGCGAACGGCGTTGGCACCGTGAGCCCCCGAGGGTGCGCGATGGCCTACATCGCAACCCAGTTTGCTTTGGCGACACGTGGGGCATCAGCTTACGACGCCGCAGAGACCGGACGAGAGTTTGTAGTACTGACGAAAGTGCTTGGTGTCGCAGCTCGGGTCGAGCGTCGTGCCCACGCACCACATCATGGCCGTGGCGCTGCCGTTGGTGCTGCTGGAGCTACTCTCGGGGCCATCGTCCAGCACAAACATCTTGAACTTGGTCGCGCCGAGAATGTCGTGGAACTTGCGCTCTGTGGCAAGAACGAACCGAATTAAGCTCATGCTCGCTAGCGACGGAACGCTCTCCGACACGAGCGGCCGTGGCATCTCGTGCAGGCGAAGGAGCTTCGTCTGCGACGCCTGCAGCTTGTCGTCCATCTACCTCCCATTCATCATTCCAATTTGAGAGCGACAATGCAAGCACCTGAAATTGCTCGAGAAGAATGCCAGCTTGGACTGCAAAGAGCGAGAGCACAATCTCGTCGTTGGGCGAAAACCCCTTGTAGTGGGTCGTATTGCACGCCTATCTCCATAAGAACAGAGTTGCATCGATCGTTTTCTATCGAAAGAGAGACCCGAAGCACTGCGAGCACGTCGTGCCGGCCGTCGAGAATCGGAACGCACACAATGTCGCGGGTCGTAATGCCTGTGACGTTGTCCTGGGGGCTGTAGAAGCGCGGGTCGTCGTAGGCACTAGCGAGATTGCACGGTGTTTTGGACGACAGCACGTAGCTCACAATGCCCTTGTCGGCCGGAATCTCCAAGTTGGTGACGCCAAACTACGCATCCGAGGGTAGGCCAGCCATGAGTGTGGACGGCGTGTACGTTGGTGCAGCGGCAAATGAGCTTTTTTCCGTGGAGCTGGAAGAGGGCCGCGTGCTCGCACTGCAGCACCGAGACGACCTTCTTGAGGAGCCTACATGAGCACTGTGAGCAAAATCGTGTGGAGAAGATGACAACTCTTCGAGGACGACGCCAATGTCCAAGGATACGTGGATGCTCTGGCACGCATGCAGCCATCGTTTCATGGTCGTCGAGAGGTTGATGGCGTTCGAGATGCTAAACTGCGAGTCCACCTTGTGCAAGATCCGCATTAAGTTCGGGTCAATGTAGTGCTCGATCATGGCCGCCACGGTCCGCGACGCGTCGTCGGGCGCGAGGTTGCCCACGTCGCTGAGATCCATCGCATGGATGTTCGACTTGGCGTCCGTGAGGTCGGTCGACGGCGCCTGCTGCGTCATTTGCATGTGTTCAATGGCCTCGAGCTCGGCTTTCACGAGCTTGACGCGCTTCTCCGCATTCGCGAGGCTCTTCTTGTCGTCGGCGTGCTGCGCCTCGAGGACGCGGACCCGCCGCTCGTGCTCCTGGTTTTCCCGCGCGAGCGTCGCCAGCACCGTCTTGATGGTCTCATGGCTCGGCGCCGACGCGAGCTTATGGAACGACTCGTTGACGCTCACGTACTTTTGCGAGAGCTTGGCAAACGCCTTCTTCTGGTGCGTCGTGATTTCGCGCTCGTCGGCCACGCGCTGCGTGAGCGCGTCGACGTGTTCGCGCAGCGCCGCATTCTCGGCGACAAGCTGCGTCTTGTGCTTGCGCTCTTTCTGAAGCGTCCGGTGAGCGTCTGAAAGCTCCTTTTCGAGGTGCAGTATCGTCGCTTGCAGGCTCTGCACTTGCTTGTCAAGCGCACTGCTGGCCTTTTCGCTGCTCATTTGCGGTGGTGTGAGCGGCGTCAGCTTTGGCGACGACGACGGAAAGAGGCGTTTCTTGGACGAGCTAAAGGCGTGGGTCCCCGGCGCACTCTGTAGCGGCAATACAGGCGTGGACCCGATCCGGTTGAGATGGGTCGGCGTGTAGTGCGTCAGGAGCGTCCGGTCGTCGCGAACGTCGTCGACGTCCGTTGGCGGCAACGCCTTGGGCTTGGGTTTGTAGCGCTGAGTGTCTTTGACACCGTACTCGGAGCGCACGATGAAGAACTCGGAGGCCATACTCGCGTTGCCGACGACGTCGGTTTCGTCTCGCCGAGTCCGAAACGCGTTTTGTCACGCATTGCCATCGGCGGCAGAAAGGACAGACACGCCCAAATTCATGGTGCATCAAGATCTTACATGGCCTCCAGCATTGTCTGATTGACGCGGCCTAGCGGTGACGTACTATTGTGGTATGGAGCTCTGGCGACAGACTCTTGTGCTCGCATCCAATCCTGCAACCACAGCATCCTCCATAGCTATCGATTTCCACAAGCTTAAGCACGAAGTCGATCACGGCGCCAACGTCTTGGCCACCATGCTTCCAGAACCGTCATCCGGCCCAAGCTATCCACGAGCTATTGTAACAAGCTTGGTGCCACTAGCTCCAAGAAATACAACGAGCTGGGTCGTTCGGTGAGTGCGCAGGTGCCATGCAGCCCGCTGCCTCGTCCTGCTCAAGGACGTCGTCGGCGAAAGGCCAAGTGGCGGCGCGGGCGGGTTTTGTGCACGGGCGGGCGGAAACGAGTGGCCAGCAGGAGTGGCCAATCACGGCGCGGTGTGGCGGCGGCCGGCGTATATTCGAACAAAGTATGGCGGGATTTCGACGAAAAGGTAGGGCTTTTCGGACCGTCAGTTGACCTTAGCAAACGAACATGAGCTCCGCCGAATACCAAGCGTCCCGCGCGCACTCCGTCGAGTGGATGACCCGCGCCAAGAAGAGCCTCGCGGTCCGCCACACGTCGCCCGTCCCCGCGGGCCCGGCGAGCTTCTTCCACCGCTTCGCCCACAACTACGGCGTGCGCCACGTCCACACCAACTCGTTCGCGCCCATCGTCCATATCATGCTCATCGTCGCGGGCTCGGGCATGACCATGCAGTACCTCGGTCGCCACCGTACGAACATGCAAAACTCCTAGTTCTTGTATCGCTCATGCTTGGTTTGATTGCTTTAGGCCACAAGAAGGCGGCGCAGGAGGCTGCCAAGGCCGCCCACGGCGACAGCCACCACCACTAAGCGCGGGGTCCGTCGCCCGCGTGCTGACGCGCCGACGTCATGGCGCCTCTAGACGGCGACATTGCCAATGTGTGCAGCCGCGGCCTCGAGTCTAACAAGAGTCAATATCGAAGTACGACTATGTCTGTGTACCGCTATGCGCAATCTGTGTGGGCTTGTCTGGCCGTGGACGATGAGAACGAGTCTGCTACCTAATGCGCGCCAACTGCTGCCGTCACGTCTGCATGACCAAAGTTGCGGGCGTAAGTAGAGATGAACATGGCAGTCGAATTTGGCGCGCGGCTTGGCACGTACCGCGATTATCAACGCAATAACGCTGCCATCAACCATGTAGTTTCCTCGCATCCCTAGCATCAACATGACTTGCGTCTTGTCCTGGTCATGCTCTCGTACAGTGTACCTCGACGCACGGTGGTAGCGCCAAGAGCGGTCGACAATGCACTGGTAACCTGATCCGTTCCAGTTGTGACGACGTCTCTCAGATACTGCAATCTGCACGCATGCAACTCGATTCTCGCAGAGCTTTGTCAACGGGCAGGTTGCCGCTTCGATATCGAACGCCATCGGAAACGCAGCCGGTTCTTCCTCCCGCCATGTCGCGAGGCGTCGCTTCCACCATTCTCCTCTCGTTGGCTGCTTCTAAACACGTAGGCTACCAAGGTCCCAGGTTCTAGGTCTTCATCTTGCTCTGGTAGATAGCTTGTAGTACAGGTGGAGGCGGTTGCGCCATCATCTTGGACCGACCGAGTGCGAATCAAGATGGCGGTGCCGCTGAATTGCGCGCTTTCAAAAAAATGCATCGTCGGACGATAGAATTTAAAAAAAGATAACGCTGGCTTCCTCCTCTGCCGTGCGCAAGGCCGCGGGCCCGGGATCAGCGAGGATTTTGAATACGGGAAAAGCCTGCGGCCGACTGCGACGCTCCGGTCAAGTGATCGAACGCGCTTTCGTCCAGCAGTGGCAATTCAACTGTTGGGGGGTTGTATTTAATTTCACATCGCCAAATGAATTGAAGTGTTTGTATGAAGGGAGTGTCGATTTATAAAAATATGCGCTGCGAACGTTGGCCCGTCAAAAAAAGCGAATTGAATTGCGCTGGCGTTGGGACAAGCGATGAAACAGATCCGAATTTCCAGCGCTCCGCCGCCATGTACCGCGACGGCTTCCTCATACTCAAGGACGTCTCGATGCGCTCAAGCATGGGCAAGCCCATCATCGTCTTCGTCGTCTTCCAAGAAGGCGTCCTGAGCTTCTACTCGGACAAGGGTGGCATCTTGCTCGGCAGCCTCTCGCTGCCCGGCCGCATCACCAAGGTCAAGGCCGAGTGCGACGTGCCCACGCAGCTGCCACATCGCTTCACAGTCGCGTCGACCGAAGTCACGCGCATCGAAGGCCGCCGTATCAAGCTCGGCGAGACGCGCACGCTCGAGCTCAGTGCGCCAACACACGACCTCATGAAGGAGTGGGCCAACTCGGTGCACCTCTGGCGGCGCATGAACTGGAAAGACGACGTCACGTTCTTCGAGTCGTACGAGCGTATGGAGCACGCGGACGAGCGTTCGCTCTTGCGCATGTTCTTGAAGCTTGGGCCAGAGCCCGACGCGACGCGGCCGCGATCCCGGTCACGAATCAAGATGCTCTCTCCGATTATCAAAGCTTTCAAGCGACGAACGATGACCGCATAGCCCGCGCCGTCCTTGTTCCCGTCGTACGTTTATATATAATAGAGCTAGGCCGTCTGTCCACCCGCTTTGCTCGCTCGCGTACAGTGTACATCTTCACCGATCCCATGCTTGGGGAGCCACCAGAAGAGCATGGCGTTGCGCCGTGACCAGACTTGCTAAAGACGCGACTGCAGCAAAGAGAACGTTCGGGATTCGGGCATGAACACAGTGGCGACAACACACTGTGGTATCGAGCCAGATACTAGTAGTCGCTTCAGCTACGCGCTTCTGGGCAACGACCTGATTAGAGTGGGCATGGACATCGTACCGCAATGGACGCCAGTACAGTACTTGGGCGACAACTGGGCTTGTGCATATCTAGACTCCGAGAACCTTGCTACATCTCTGCTACGCCATGTCACCACGGTGCACAAGCAAAGTGAAAGCCGTGTTCTACGTGAAAATGGTGTTCGTTGGCTCGTGCTGCTTGTCTGTTTGGCGCAGCGACGGACGATCGTCGTGCTTTTTCGTGCAGAGGCCGTCGTATCCTCAGGGCTCCGAGTGTATTCGGGCCATTGACTAACGTGTCTTAGTAGAACGTCAACTAAGCGTGGTTTCCTCACTAGGTTAGAATAGTTAGTCGCAAGCGCACCACGTTGTATGCACGTGCGTCCTGATTGGTCGGCGCTGTGGCGATGGTCGCTGCTGCGTCGACCGCGTCGTGGCGATCGTCCCGCGGATGCGCCATCCTGCGCTGTGATTGGTCATATTTCGAGATCTATATTCTCGTGGGCTGTTGACTGAACATCCATTTTCGCAAGCAGCACGAGCAGCATGGCCGACGACCTTGTCAAGACGGTCGTCAAGTACACGAGCGCAACGTCCAAGGCCGACAAGGTCTCCAAGTCCATCGGCTTTGGCTGCGCGACGCTGGCCCGCGTCATCGAGTTCTACGCGGCCAAGCCGACGCGCCACTCGGTGGGGCTCGGCGCCGTCGCGTCCCAAATCAGCTACGCCCGCTACGTCACGCGCTTTACGGGCATCTTTGAGTGCATCGAAGCGCTCCAAAACGACTCGTGGACGTACGCGGACGACGACCCGCGCGTGCGCCAGCTCGTCAAGCTCCAAGTGTACTCGATGTTGCTCTACTACCCGCTTGAGCACGTCTCGTTCGTCGGCTTTGTGTACGTGCTCTTCGCATGCCCATTCGCGCAAAGGCTCATGCTGCACATGCGATAGCGCACCGAAATGGTTCAACGTCGATGCGATGCGCGCGATGCGGCAGTCGTGTATGGCCTGGACGGTGTACGTCGTGCTCGACATGTACGCCAACCACCTCCGCCTCACGAAGCTCGCAAAGCGAGAAAAGATGCTCGAGGCCAAGATCATCGACGAGGCGAACCCGGACGCGGTCGCTGAAGTAGGTCTCTTTGTCGCAGGAGCCGTAGGCTGACGTATGCAACTTTATGTAGCGCGCGACCGAGCTGGCGACGATTCAGTCGACGTACGTTTGTGTCCTGTACAACGACTGCGATGCCTTACATCTGCTCTGTAGGCGCCAGTATCTGATCATCAACCAGTGGCGCAACGTGCTCTTCTTGCCCAACTGCATCCACTGGTCCTCGGAGCGCGGGATTATCCCAGGTACACACGATACGTTGATATGGTAGCGAGATTACTCATCGATCCTCGCAGAGGTGCTTGTTCAATTCCTCGGGTTTGCAGAAGGCGTCCTCGGCATCTGGCAGACGTGGCCCCACTAGTGCCGCCGCGACGTCAAGTAACTCGCAATCTCTGGTCGGTGTTTTTCGATTGCGAGCTCAACCCAGCCCTCGCGCACGTGTGTGTACAGCCGCGAGGCCCAGAGCTCCTCAACAATCTCTCGTCGGTCGTACGTGATAGCGCGTTCCATGAGATCGTCTCGGATCGCATCCAGCGCGCCGCGTTGATAGTCAAGGAGCCAGCGCAGCGCAGCGAGCTGTCCGACTTGCACGACGTGCAGAAGTGCGCGGCTCGTGCATACCATGGTCGGTACATGGGCGTGCAAGCAGTCGAGGATGTTGACGTAGCCGCTGACGGCGGCGGCATGCAGCGCAAACGGTGACGCGCCCTCGTGGCGATGCGTGAGAAGAAACCGCACGACGTCTTCGTGGCCGTTGGCCGCTGCCGCGTCGACAGCTTCGGTCGAGCAGCCCTCGGTGCGATGCGTGTGGAGGAAGACGACCGTATCGAGGAGGCCAAAGCGCGCGGCGCCATCCATAGCCCGCACTGTACACCCTTCGTCGCGGTGCATGTGCAAGAACTGTACGGCCTCCATGTGCCCATTGGCGGCCGCGGCGTCGAGGGCGAGGTGCGAGGCCGGTGCATCAATCGAGTGGAGGTAGCGGAGGACATGGACGTGACCGTTCTTCGCCGCGCTGTCCATCGCGTACGCAGAGCAGCCTTCGGGGCGATGCTCGTGGAGGTACCGAAGCACGTTCAAGTGGCCGTTGCGGGCGGCCCAGTCCATCGCCTTGACCGTGCCCCCGACGTTGACGGCCGTCGCCAGGAACTCGACGACAGCGAGGTGCCCGTTCTGCGCTGCAAAGTCCATTGCGTCCCGCGTGCAGCCTTCGCGCCGGTGCTCGTGAAGGAACGCTACGATCTCGACGTGGCCATTCTGGGCCGCATAGTCCATGGCACGTCTTGAAGGAGCGTGGCCTGATGTGTGGAGGTATCGGACGACGCTGAGCGCTCCCGTCTTGGATGCAAAGTCCATTGCATGGGCGCTCTTGACGTGCGTGCACCGAAGGACGAGGTCGACGAGTCGAGCGTCGTTTTGCGCGATGGCGCCGTGAAGCACGAGCAGCGGCTCGGTCATCGCTTCGAGGAGGAAGTCGCGCATGGAGGCGATCTTCGTGGGCAGGGGCATCGCCGCCCAGGCCTTGAAGAGTGCTATGACGTCGAGGAAGAGCCCATCCTGGAAGGACGTGATAAGGCGGAAGAGGCCGCGGTCCACGAGGACGTTGCCCGGCGACTGCATGCGAGCAGAGTATTCCATCGTCGTCCCATCCGGATACGAGCAACGGTGTTTCAGTATCTTTTCAGTGTGTTGGCGATCTTCCGGATATCGAGATTCGTTTGCACGCTCGCTGAAGCAGCGGCTAGTCAAGATGCCATGGCCACCGTGCCGTATCGTGCTTGGGTGAGCTCGGTAACCATCGCGAGAGCAGTGTGGCGGGCTTGGCGGAGTCCGACGTCGGCAGCGCTTCAGATGTGCCCATGAGTGTGTCCACGCAGATGTCGACTTCGATTACTAGTACGTCATACTCCTGGTGTAGGACCACAGGGCGATCCAAGTATCTAGCTGTTTTCCCGCGCATGTTTGAATTGGAAACATCGAAGCCAGTGAAACCGTTTGGCTGCCGTGCATGCGCCGGGCTTGGGCTTGGCGACATTATTCTGCAACAAGGATTGCTTGCGAAACAAGCGTCAAGGGCAATACGAGCGACGTCATCGGGTTAGGATTCGACGCTGCTTGCTGAGAGTTCAATGATCTTGGAGACGAACGAGCTTATGCTTTACCGGTAGGCAATTCGATGGCGAAACGTACATTCAAGTCAAGGTTCCCTTGGTTCAAGTGCACGATGCGTCGTACTCTCTCTCGTGGTCGTCAATTTGAGGCGGCGTTTTTTGTGATTTGAGTGCACTCGTTTGGTCTAACGGTACGGTGATCAGCTGCTCGATGTCCTCGATGAGATTATGCGTCAGTAGCTGCTGCGTCAGTCCATTCTCGATGACCTCCACGAAGTATTCCCGCTCGTGGGTCGCTGGCAGCATCCTGTGCCTGTGCCGAGGTTAATCCCAATCTCCCAATGGTATCCGGAAGATCGCTTGACTCGGGACAAAACGATATGCGAAATTTATTCGTGGTCATGTATCCGGTTGGGACAATGCGTTTCACCCATATATAAAACCTCCGAAAATACATACTTTGGTGAAGGGCGATTTTTCGCAGGTCATTTGGAACCGCAGATTTCTTCAAGACCCACGATGGACGTGACCTCGCTTCCTCTGCTCCGCGCCGGCCCCGACGTCCTCCGCGTCGGCTGGCAGCGCGCCGACCAAGACGCCCGCCCCGTGCATGAGGTCCAGCGCCTCGAGATGCACCGGCGCGTGCACGGCTTCGAGGCCAAGATGAACTCGGTCGAGCAGATCTACGGCAAGGCTGCGGCCATGCGCCTGCGCACCGAGAAGATCATGCTCGAGCAGCACGTGCGCCTGCCCGGCCTTCCGAGCTCGCGCGTTGGCCTCGACACGCTCATGGGCAACGACGACATCCTCGACTTTGCCGACATCCTCAACGGTACGCCAAACTGCCTACCTACGCATCCTCATGAGCACCGTAGAGCCCCAAGAGAACCCCGAGGTGCACTTCCGCGTTCACGATGCGATGGAAGTCAAGCTCGCGATCTTCTAAGCGTCGTTCCGGTAACCTCCGTAAGGATCATCGCTTCATGTATGCATTTGATCGCGCTGCGTCTACCTCCTTGGCCCTGGCTTCTATCACTGCTGCACTTGGGATGCTGGCGCAGGGTGGTGACAGGGATTTCTCTTGGCAATGTACTGTGAATGCGTGGAGCTACGGACGCCACTCGAGTATCATGCAATCTCTTATAAACAGGCGGGACTTATAGATGGGCGGTGCTACTACAAGTGGATGTGCCCGGCCGCGTACTCGTCCTGGTCCGAGAGGTTGGAGCTGGACCGCATACCGTACGGAAGGGACCCGCCCGTCTTGAGCATGCTCGACGGAATCGACCGCATGGACATGGGCACCGTCATCTCGTCGGCCGACGACTCGAGGTCCATGTGAGAGCTCTGCCCGACAAAGTCGTTGTCCTTGGCGTGGTGCAAGAGGAGCTCCTTGACGCCAAGCATGTCGGCCATCTTGATCTGGAACCGCTTCTTGTAGCGCTCGGGCTCGATGGCCGAGAGCCCATCCCCATCGACGCGGCGCAGGTTGATCTTGAGGAAGCGCTCCATGCGCTTTTGAAAGGTCCACGTCTGGAGAATGTCGATGACGCCGAGGTGGTAGTACGCGGGCCCGACGACCGTGTTGGCCATGCGCATGCCCGAGCGCGGCAGCGGCTTGCGCTGCGCCGCGAGGTTGCTCCGCGCCTCGGCCGACATTTGGTGCATCATGGGCTGGAACGTGTTCTTGACGTACGTCGACTGGTCGTTTTCACTGGCGTGGTCGAGCTCGGACAGTTCGGCATCGACCGTAAACTCGACGTCGTGGACGCCCATGAGGAGCGAGTAGTCCATGATGCCAAAGCGGCAGAGGCGGTCGCTGTCAGCTTCGAGCTGCCGGTACAAGGTCAGCGCCACGGGCTTGTCGAGCTTGAGCTTCTGCGTCAGGTCCGCGTCCTTCAAGACAATGTTGGGCTCGTGGCCGCCAAGGCGGAAGGTGCAGTTGAAGTCTTCGTACGCGTGGCTCTGGTACACGTACTTGCGGTTGCAGTGGCGGCACGTCACCTTCTTGCCGCGCTTGGGAAGCTCGCCCTTGCGGTTGACCCACGAGCCCTTGATGTCGTACCGGCTGTGGATCGTCTGCTTGGTGTCAAACAGGTTGGCCATGACGACGAACGAGAACTTTTGCCCGTACAACTCGAGGCAGTGGCAGCCGTAAAAGCGCGTGAGGAGCGACGTCGGGTTCTCGCAGAGGTAGTCGGCGTACTCGTCCGCGATCGACCGCAAAAAGTGGCACTCCTCCGGCGACGTACTCTTGACGATGAGCGAGCTGTCGCCGCTGAAAAACATAAAGGCGCCGGACGCGCCTTCGCTGAGCCGCTCCTTGGCCGTCGACGAGAGCGACTTGAGGTAGCGCAAGTTGTCGACGCCAAAGCGCTCGCGGATGCGCCGGAACGCGTGCGGCTCGTAGTCGTGGAACGTCTTGGTGTACGCCGACGCGGCGGCGACGGGCCCGTCCATCTGCGGCAGCAGTGCCAGGTGCTGGATGTGCGCATCGTCGTTGAGGTGCCGCGCTTCCTCGACGGCCTTGATGATACCGGAGGTCGTGTAGAAGAGCACTTCGCGGCGCAGCGCTGCGTTGACCTGCGGGTTCAAGTCCACGTCGACCTCCTTCTCGCCGCGGCGGCAGAGGGCCGCGACCTTGGGGATGCGAAAGTCGTTGAGGTGGAACCAGATGACGAGGTCGAGGTAGCCCTTGGACGCCATGAGAAAGTTGACCATCTCCTTCATCGTGCGCTTCGTCGCGTCTTCCTTCTGGCCGAGGTACTAGCAACAATATGAGTCGACGTCATCATGATGGAAGATACTGTCGTACGAGAAAGTACACGATGAAGACGACGGTCCAGTAGACCGAGACGGCAAATACAAGGAAGCGCGCGCGGTTGATGCTCTGAACGCGCACAGCGTACGTCTCGGGCATACCCTCCGAGAGGCGGCGCCACGCCCAGAACCAGACCGCGAGACCGACGACGATGAAGCCAAAGATCCACACGTAAAAGAAGATCCAGCTCAAGTAGTTGGCCTGGACCGAGCCAAACTTGGACTTGAGCACAAAGTCGCGGCTCTGGTTCACGCACGTCTTGTTGAAGGGCGCCTCGATGCGCGGAAAGTTCTACGATCGTCATGAGCTTACGCTAGTTCTATCAAGGTATCGAGTACGTGGAGGGCGTTGGTCCAGCACGTGTCAAAGTCCGAGTAGCCACCGAGGTTGGGCACGGCCATGAGTACGACGGACGTGAGGAGCGCAAAG